AAGTGTATTCAAAAGAGGTGTCAGGGGTTTCTAGCCTATGCAATTGATGCCAAGAAAGAAAAGGGGAAGCAAAAAGTAATTCCGATTGTTAATGACTATCCTGAAGTCTTTCCTGAAGACTTATCTGGATTACCACCCGATAGAATTATTCAATTTGGGATTGATTTAATACCCAGAGCAGCGTCTGTAGCCAAAGCACCGTATCGATTAGCTCCGTCTGAATTAAAAGAATTGGTCACACAGTTAAAAGATTTGCTTGACAAAGGATTCATCAGACCAAGTACTTCACCACGGGGAGCTCCAGTTTTGTTTGTGAAAAAGAAAGACGGTTCTATGCGTATGCGTATCGACTATCGGGAACTAAACAAATTGACCATAAAGAACAAGTACCCATTGCCAAGAATTGATTATTTCTTTGATCAACTAGTGGGAGCTAGTTACTTTTCGAAGATTGATTTACGATCAGGTTGCCATCAGCTGAAAGTTAAAGAGGACGATATTACTAAAACTGCTTTTCAATCTAGGTACAGACACCATGAATTCCTGGTTACGCCATTCGGTTTGACTAACGCACCTGCAGCTTTTATGGATATAATGAATCGAGTATGCAAGGAATATCTTGATAAATTCGTTATTGTATTTATCGATGACATTCTCATATACTCCAAGACCGAAGAAGAGCATGCTGAACATCTTCGGTTGATACTTGAGCTCTTGAAAAGAGAAAAGTTACACGCAAAGTTGTCCAAGTGTGAATTCTGACTGAGAGAAGTTCAGTTTCTGGGGCATGTTATATCCAAGGCAGAGATAAAAGTAGATCCGACAAAGATTGAAGCAGTTGCAAAATGGGAGGCACCAAAGACTCCCTCGGAAGTCCGAAGCTTTTTGGGATTGGCGGGCTATTACCGCAAGTTTATTCAAGATTTCTCCAAAATAGTCGTGCCTTTAACAAAAGTAACTCAGGAAAATGTCAAGTTTCAGTGGGAGGAAGAACAACATAAGGCTTTCCAGTTACTAAAAGATCATCTCTGCAGTGCCTCGATATTGACTTTACCCGATGGAACGGAAGATTTTGTGGTATATACCGATGCATCAAAGCTTGGTTTGGGCTGTCTTAATGCAAAGAAGAAAAGTTATATCATATGCATCCCGACAACTAAAGGATCATGAAAAGCAGTATCCGACTCACGATATGGAATTGGCAGCCGTGGTCTTCGCATTGAAAATATGGAGACATTACCTCTTGGGAACGAAATGCCAAATTTACACTGACCATAAGAGCTTGCAACACCTGTGGGATCAGAAGGAATTGAATATGAGGCAACGTCGATGGATTGAACTTGTTAACGACTATGATTGTGAAATTCTCTATCACCCGGGAAAAGCAAATGTGGTGGCCGACGCTTTAAGCAGAAAGGAACAAAGTGGAACTATCAAAGCTATGGCAATGAAAATAAACTTAATTCCCGACCTTCACCAAGAGATTTTAAACTATCAAAAAGAGGCTGTAAAGGAAGAACACATGAAGTCAGAAAAAGTGGGTAAAACGATTTCCATCATGGAACCAAATGATAAAGGAATTTTATGCTTCCAAGGTCGGATATGGGTACCAGTTTATGGGAATACACGAGAGACCATTCTGAACGAAAGTCATAAGTCTCGTTACTCTATCCATCCAAGTACCAATAAAATGTATAAAGACTTGAAACCTTTTTATTGGTGGCCAGGATTGAAAAAAGACATTGCAAAATATGTGGAACGATGCTTAACTTGTCTACAAGTTAAGATTGAACATCAAAGACCCTATGGAAATCTGTAATCATTGGAAATACCAGTTTGGAAATGGGATCACATTACGATGGACTTTATCATGAAGTTACCCGAACCCCGAAAGGTTATGACGCAATTTGGGTAATAGTGGATCGTCTATCAAAGTCTGCACACTTCTTACCGATGAAAGAATCATATTCTTTAGAAAGGTTGGCTCAGATTTACATCAAAGAAATCGTAACCAGACACGGTGTTCTACTATATATCATTTCTGATAGAGATAGTCGTTTTACCTCGAAATTCTGGGAAAGTTTGCAAGGAGCCTTGGGATCACAAATTCGGTTGAATACGGCTTATCATCCTCAAACAGACGGGCAGAGTGAACGAATTATTCAGACTCTCGAAGACATGTTGAGAACCTGTGTTATAGATTTCGGGGAATCATGGGAGGATCACTTACCATTGATTGAGTTTTCTTACAATAATAGTTATCACTCCAGCATTCAAGTGGCACTGTATGAAGTATTGTATGGACGAAAATGCCGAACGCCGTTGTGTTGGAATGAGGTGGGTGAAAAGCAACTGACAGGTCTCGAAATTGTGCAAGTAACTTCTGAAAAAATTGAACAGATTCGGACAAGAATCAAGACAGCCAAGATCGACAGAAAAGTTATGCTGACAGGCGAAGAAAACCAATTGAATTCAACGTGGGGAATTTTGTAATGTTAAAGATATCTCCATGGTAAGGTGTTATGAGATTTGGAAAGAAAGGTAAGCTTTGTCCAAGATATATTGGACCATTCAAAATTTGCAAACGGGTTGGACCAGTAGCTTATCAGTTGGAATTACCAGAAGAACTCAGTCAAATTCACAGCACCTTTCATGTATCGAATCTGCGCAAATGTTTGGCAGACTCAAGTCTAGCAATACCGCTTCCAGAGATCAACTAGACAGTAAATTGAACTTGGTTGAAACACCAGAAGCCGTGACTGATAGAAAGATCAGGGTGTTTGAGAAACAAAGAAATCAGTCTGGTAAAGGTTCAGTGGCGTTATCATAAGGGTTCAGAAGGAACATGGGAACTGGAATCTGGTATGAGAAGCCGATACCCTTGGTTATTTGAATGAATGAATTCCGGGACGGAATTCTTTTGATGAAAATATAATGTTATAATCGGGTTTCAGAAAACCTGGGTTGAGGTAAACTTATACGTGGTTATTATATGAATTACGTGATGACATGCTGATTATTTAATTAAAATACATTAGTATGCATATATGTGAAAAGATGTTGTGCATACATGAATTAGGTGTGTGCATATATGGTGTAAAGCATATGTGGATTATATTATTTAAAAATATGAAGATGTGATATCTTCATAGTAAAGAAAGGTGGTTTTATAATAATAAAACCCACCACCGCCCAAACAATTGTATAATGATAAAATCCTGTCACCGCCTTTGTGAAAATAATTAAAGAGAGAAAAAGAAATAAGATTTTATCTTATCATTTTATTCGGAAAGATAGAGAAAAGATTGTTTCTTTTAAACAGTTTTGGAAATGATATCGTGTTTTGAGGATTTAAAAGAGTTACGATGTTTTGGAAATTATTGAAAGAACAGATTGTTCTTGAATTTGAAAGTTTTGATGATAAAACTATTTTGAAACCATTATTGGTTGAAAACTATATGGGTTATCTCATCAAGACGGTTGTG